TATATCAGAAGTGCAAAGTATATACTTGTGATAAATGATCTATATAAAATTATGATGAAAAGATGACTTTTTGTATGTGCAAATACGTTTTGTAAGAGAGAGAACTGGACTTTTACTTTCTTTATGATCTTTTATACCTTCGTTGTTTATATAATTTTCAATGAATATAGAGAATCTAGTGTCATCGTTCTGTTCTCCATTTCGTCCTTAATTTACTGCTTTTTCAATCATGTAAATAGTGTTTCTTGTTCGGTTTTTACGAGCATTTTCCCAAACCCTAGTAAAACCGTGAAATTCGGCCGGTTATTCTCGCATCGGCACCTCTTTTTCGCATGGCACTGAAAGGGTTGATTGCCAAAAATGTCAGCAAGTCTGAAACGATGCAACGACATCGTCTAGAATCGTCTTCAACCTCTGATCGATGTTGATGTTTCTAATCAATTTCGCACCGCGAACTTTTGCACGGCGAAAGAAACTCCGCGCAGCAAAATAGAAAACAGTTCGAAATTGTCGAAAGTCGACAGGCGCCGGGAATCGTCTGAAAAGTGCCGTGACTCGGAGAGAGAGACGATTAATTACCGAGGTGGCCCAGCATGGAGCCACCGTTCGAACAGGAAGAAGCGAAACGGTCTTTCCACTTGTACGACCACTGGAAACAATCGAAACTCCTTCTCGGAAGTCTTTTAGCATCGGCGATCGGTCGGAAGGTCAGAGGTGAGGCTGCGAGCGTGCCTCGAAAATAGAACGTATCCGCGGCGGTTAGATAGCAGTTTAACCGTTTCTATTTCAATTATCGCGACGGCGGCGGCGGCGGCGGTTCTAGCTCGGCAATTTGCTGGGTTTAATCGTCGCCGGATCGCCGGATCGCCGGCACGAATTTATAATTCGTAATGTCTGCGAGCGGAGAGCAAAGTGAAACGTCCGTCAGATCTAGATCGGAACTTTCCAGCCGACCGCTCGTTACTGGAATGTTGATTAACGTGTTAATTAACCGGCGCGGTGCGGTGCGAGCCGAGCCGAGCCGACTCGACTCGACTCGACTCGAGCGAAGCCGGAAAAGCAATCGACGCTTCGACGAACGGGAAGACGCGTCGTTTTTCCTTTCCGCTTGGGAAAAAAACGGCGAATAAAGGACAAATCTCGCGGCGCGCATTCGACGCGGCCGCGCTCGTCGAGCGCGCCGGAAACAGGTGGATCGAATTTTGACCCCGAAAGTGAAATCGAACTTCTTCCTCCTTCGGCGCGGGGGAAAACTGGCTCGCTGCCGGCCGACATGCCACTTACGTAAGCCGTAAACCCGGGGAAAAATTCGCTGTAATTATCGGCCATTTTTTCGGACTTTCTAAAGCGGCTAGGCGTCGCGTCACGGCGCGGCGCGGCGCGGAGCGGAGCGGCGAGGCGTGGCGAGGCGAGCCGCGACGATGAGCACGGTAATTGAGCAATTTGGTACGGGACCCGGCCGGAACTAAGAAACCCGACTTTTGCCCGGCCGTCCGCTGAACTACTTCTTTTTCTAGGGCACTCCGAGAGCCTTCTTTTACTTTCTTCGCCATCGAGTAGAGAACGTTTGCTCGTTTCCCGTAGGTCAGCGATCTTTTTCCGACAGCTTTTCGGTCTTCGCTTCTTCCGAAGGATTCTTCGATTCGTAACTGGGAAGCGTGCGCGCGCGCGCGCGCGTCGAGATACCGCTTTCGCGTGGAATTTTTATGAGCGACGCGAAACGGTCGAGACCCTAATGCACACGCCGCGGTAAACATTTTCCGAAGTTACGTTCTTCCACGCGCGTATCGCAATCTATTTATAATCAGACTATCCGGCGAGATTATGTAGAAGTGCCGCACCGGTTGCAACAAGTTAACCGTACCTTAGCCACTTTTCACCTTACATAATTTCTCTATTCTCCGAGTCATGAGTACGCTTCGAACAGATCGCAGATTCTATTAATACCGTGAGGCACAATGTGTCGGGGAACTGCCGATAAACTGCAACTTCCATCGACTCTCGAATGACGGCCGCCGGAGTACGTTCGAACCCGGAATTACGAATATTGATAATCTAGTTCTCTTCGAGTTCTAATTTCGTAGCAGTCGTATATGATTATTAACACGTTCCGTGCCACGTGTACCATCGATGGTACACGCTTGCATGTTTACTTAGTGAACTGATCAAATTGTTTACAAGAAATTTAGAACCGAAGAATCAATTTCCACCGCAAGAATGGGCGTTGATAAGTTTTGTTACGTTGTTATGTGTACGAGAATTAATAATTGCACGTAATACATCAAGTTTTAGTAAAATATCAAAGTGTGAAGATTCGAGTAAAAAAAGCTCGGCACGGAACGTGTTAACTGTTCACGCTTAGCCAACCGAATGGGCAGATCTCGCCGTTTTAAATTCCGTCGATCGACGACCGAATGGATGATCGATGAAAAATTAAATACGAACGCTGAAGAAGTAATCGATGCCATATATAAGTTTGCTTCGTAATTTTTGTTTAATAGAATGAAATATTTTAATTTTATGAACATTTTTGAGGTCTCCAGCGCGGTCGTGATAAGCGTTAACCCCTTAATGCACAGTTTTCTTGAAAAAGGCCGGCCAAAAAAAATCAATTTTTTTAAATGTAAAGAAACACAATTTAGAACGTTGTCTTGGCAAGAAAATTACAAAAATACAAAAATATTAAATATTTATACAATTGGTATGATTTCTAATTTTCAGAATATTATTATTATTATTATTATTATTATTGCTATTATTATTATTATTATTATTGCTATTATTAGTATTATAACACAGCGCCACAAATGGCGCGTATTGGCGGCTTCCCCTCCGAAGTAATGTGATAAACGGTTCCGGAGGGGAGTTTCAGTCGCGAGAGAAAAAAGGGATTATTATTGCTATTATTATTATTATTATTGTTATTATTATTATTATTATTATATTTTATTTTACATGATATTTTAGTAAAATATATATTGAAAAATGAGCGAATCAGAATCTGAATATGAATACGCAGTCGGAAAACGGCTCGCAAGGAAGAGATAAGTCGTAAGTGATAAGTAGAAAGAGGATATATTTTATACTTGAATAAGTAGGTGTTATAGCTTACAATCCCATGTAAATGATAAATATCAATAAAACGATTGTTTTTTTTCTGCTTTCACATTGTTATTTTCGATTCTCGATCGCATTCGAGTGTGAAAAATTACAGCAACATAAAGTACAACGCCGCTCGAATTATCTCGAGTGTGCACAGTTTGGCCAGTTTGGCGCGCTCGAGTTAACTCGAGCGTGCACGTTAAGGGGTTAATATCGAACCTGATGAAAGAATTAACTTTGGTCCCGATAAAGAGATCCTAACGATACGCAAACGCGAATGAATGCGATCGAATGGATCCGCGATTAGAACGTATCAGTTATGCGTGTTGCTTCTCGATGAATCGGAGCGCGCGAACGTTCGACGGTTTAATAAAATGGTGTTTTCGTTGGTTGTTCTTTCAGGAAAATGGTTGTCTCTACTCTCACATCCGGTGGGGCGAGGCTTTCGTGGTCGTTTACAGCGTGACGTGTAAGCGAAGCTTCCAGGAAGCCCGTGGACTGCTCAAGCAGCTCGCTGATTTACGTCTACCATCCTATTTCACCGCCCTGTTGCTTGGCAACAAGAGAGATCTGGATCATGCTCGGTGAGTGTTGAATCAAGTTCCTAGGAGATTAGCAACCGGCCGAATTAAAGGTCACATTCCCCGTGGAAATCGGCGTGATTTGCTCGGCGGCGACCGCGGCGCCGGGTTGATCGGATTATTCGTGCGTTTCGCGGAATTCCGCGTGCATTCAAGGTCACCTCGAAGGTCGTCTCGCACAATTCCGTGGACTCGTTCCGTTGGAATTAACGGGAACTCGCGCGTTTCTAATTGAACGGCTCCGCGGGCGATCGCGAATTCAATTCCGTGCCACTTTCCGCGAGAGGATTTATTCGTCGTTGTCACTTTCGTCAAGGTCGCGCGAAATTATCGCCGTTCGTCGAATCTATTCCAACGTTCGTATTCGATAAAACCGCGCTACCTTGGAGGTAATAGGAGGCTGACGAAATGCCGGAAGCTACTCGAAGTCCGAGTCACTTTTCGATTACGATAATAAATCGCTTTTCGGTTTTTCCAAATACGATAACTCGCAAAAAATACCGAAATCACTTTCGCAACGAGCCAATATATTAACACTTTATCGTCCGGTCGTGGTTGAGGCTGCCACTCGGTAAGGACTGGCTTAGTCGCGCGCGCATTTGCTCCCAGTACCGGCTAAATTTTCGCTATTCATTGTGTTGTGCTTATTCCTTTAAAAATAATAATAAATAATAATAATTATTATAATTATAATTCATAAGGATATGGGGAGGTCGGCATACAGGAGGTCAGCTACTAACAAAACAGTAAAGAAGCGAAAACCGTCGATAGCTAAAAGTCGATTAATAGGCTATCGGTCGATAAGCATTGGCAATCGAAAAGCCGATTAATAGGCTAGCGATCGATAAACATTGGCAATCGAAAAGCCGATAAATAGGCTAGCGGTCGATAAAGTGTTAAGTTGGAAACTATGAAACGGGCGTTGAATCGTGTAAATCGCGTTTTCTTTCCATCTGTGGTTTCGGAGAAGAATAAAATAAAAATGAAATACAAGGACAAAAAGAAATTTGACGAAATGAGTAAGAAGAATACCTTTAAAATTTATAAATAAATTCACATTACAAATTTAATATACAGGGTTCCCCGGAAAGAATCATCCGATTTCAAAAATTTATATTTTAAAAAATTACACACAGAAAATTATAATTCGAACACGAATATAACTGGAAAATGTGCGAGTTTTACTTTTTATTATTTTTTTCTCATGTACCAAACCGTTGGATTGGTCGCAGTTCATCCGATAATATGGTTCTACACAGTTGGCCTCCGAGGTCACCCGACCTAACCCCATGCGACTTCTTCCTTTGGGGATTTGTGAAGGATCTTGTCTTTGTACCACCTTTACCTACAAGTGTAAATGAACTGAAAAAACGCATTTGCGATGCTGTACAAACAATTACCACAGATACGTTACACCGTGTTTGGCAAGAACTTTCATATCGTAATGATATCGTACGTGTAACGAAAGGAAGTCATATTGAACACTTGTAAACAAAAACTCACACATTTTCCCGTTATATTCGTGTTCGAATTATAATTTTCTGTGTGTAATTTTTTAAAATATAAATTTTTGAAATCGGATGATTCTTTCCGGGGAACCCTGTATAATAATTTACGAATTTAAATGCACATTACAATGAACACAGTCGCAGCTGAACACAGACTAAACGAAAACGTCCGTTTCATAGTTTCCAACCCAATATATCTTTAATTGGTCGATGCGCGCACCTCGTGCTGAAACAGAACTAACTTCGACGTTGAAAGGCAGCTTGCACGCGTGCGAACACGTCCGAACTTCGGCTGTCTCGCCGATCCTGACAAGTGGGTCATCTCGCGAGACAAGAATCCCTGTCGTAGTGCTCGATCAAAGGGTGGAACACGTCAACATTGACCATGGTGTCGGTCGCTTGGCAAACGCTGGACGTTCCAACTCGGACCTGCAGCCTCCTCTTTTCGGAAACTTGTGGCAATATCGTGGATCGAAACGCGCGACGCGGAAGCCGAACAGTCGCCGCAGATGCATCGATCGCTTCCTCGGATTAAAAAAGCAAAGGCGCCTTAAAGGCTCGTCGTAAACGTTAACGACGAACTTCCACGGGAAAGCGAGCACATCGGAAAAGACAACGACGAACTTCGCCGGCGAGCGAGCTCCTCGTAAATGTTAACGACAAACTTCCACCGGGAAACGACCTCGTTATAAACGACTGTTGATTATTTGCTTGCAAATAATTAAAGGCAGAGTTTTAGGTAATAGTATATTTATTGAACACACGGAAACACAAGATCTAATATACAGGCTTGCTCGCAAGAGCTTAGAGACAACGAGTGTACTCGTAAGCTGCTCACAGACGACTGACTAAAAAACCGCGGAAGACACGCAAACTGTGGGTCGGAAAATCCTTAGCGGTCATAAATAACCAATCCGTTCTCACACCGCGTGTAACGGACTTTCGAGTCAAAATTTGCTCGACTCGAGTCGACGCGCGTTTAGCGCCGCGTGCCCTGCGGATGGGCCGCAAGGGCCGTCTTACCTGAAAAACGGACAAGGCCGTAAAACGTACAAAGTACCCATTTTCAATAGCATCGAAAATGCCAGACGTTTACAACGACAACAATGAAGCTGGACGAGTCAGCGACCTCGTAAATCTCGATCTATCCATCGATATTCGGCGCGATCGAGCCTTTCACGCTTCGATTCGTTAACGACGAAGATATTGGACGTATCCGCAGCGAGAAGTCGCAAGATATAAAACGGGTTTACGCCGAAAAATTCGCCGATACCGTATTAATTTTACCGTCAGCTTTTTCTTCGTCGTCGCGAAAATAACAGCGAAGCACCGCCGACAAACGACCTCGGCCCAAATAAACGACGAACTTCCGTCGGAATGCCCATCGTCCGAGCAACCCCGAAGAAGGATCTCGGGAAAAAGTTCAGGTTGCAGAGGCCGACGAAAGAAGAAGAAGAAGAAGAAGCGGCGGCGATAATCGAGGGCCTCGGCCGTCTTCCGTCCAAGGACATTTTTCGCGAGAAAACCATTAGCGGTGCCGGCGCGCAACGGTTCCGGCGCGGTTCGGCTGCACCGGCTGTCTAAAATCGGTCGACGCTCGGCGTCGGCGTCGTCGACTTCGAGGATGGCCGGCTCGGAACGTCGCCGTCCGGAGCCAAGTCGGCCAAACGAGGCGCGTAAACAGATCTGTCGGTGCGGCGATCGCGTGAACGGTTTCTAGGTGAGCGACCACTCGACCACTACCGGGTGTCGTGCTCGAAACGGTCTCTGGTGTCGGGGAGTGCGGTCGGTGTGGCGCCTCGTTTCGCGTTTCACGCCGCCGCTCCGCGCCGCGTCGATCCGATCCGACTCGATCCGATCCGATCCGGCCCGCGCGTCACGGATCGATCGTCGTCCCGATCGGCTCGAGC